CACCGCACAGTGAGGTAAATTCGAGGGTATCTGCAATTTCAGTAGGTTAAACAAAGGCGGGACAAACAGCTGCTTATGAAGTCGGTACTCGGCAAGAGGGGCTGAATTTCCACGTAGTCACAGGGCACTAATTACGGCGGGGTGCGTTCTGAAGATAAGACTCAATACCGCACAGGGGGGCAAACAATTCTAAAGCGGCTACCAGGAACCGAAATCTGACTCGGACAGCGACGATCAGGAAATACACCATCAAGGATAGGCTCTAGCAGCATACTAATCCACCTACCCCCATTCAGCAATCCCAACTGAATGGGGTTACTACTAAAGCCCTGGTTGAGGAGGATTCCGGATTGTACTTAGGTTTGGGTCAGTTCAATGTCCTCCAAAAACCCTTCCTAAACTGGACGTATGGCCCGACCCGGCTGACAAAAATCCCGGGAGCTGCCTTAACCATAGACACTGTCATCCACGACCTCCAAGGGTGGATCTACCAGGCGGCGTAAAAACTTGGGATCCAACAAACACAGGTAATGCTGTGATTTGGCGGGATGCGCAGGAGAACGGAAAGGGGGTAAAATAACCCTGAGAGATTAGTGGAGGATAATGTGTTTGGGGCCTGCCATACGTTCCCATACTCATACTCATATAAGGGCGTTCCATAACACCCATAAGGGTAATATTTATTATTTTATTCGTCACTGAAATAGGTATTTATTTTAAAGCTGTAAGGCCAATATGTTGATTTTTATACCAGTCAGTAATAAAACTAGTATTATTTTACAGTGCTATTAAATTTTTTTATCCCCTCATCCAACCCTCCAAAAATATATCGACGATCTGCTAAAATTTGTATGAACAAATTTATTTGGTTGCATTAAAAAATGCAACATTTTGTAAGTAATGTACTAATGTAGCCTTATAATATGCTGCAATTTGTAGAAGTGAATTTTTGTCGTTGCTTGAATAATATTGTGTCATTTTTGACGGCAGTGTTTAACACTTCAATTTGGAGATATACTTTTTTAGTAATTGTATTAAAAAACTTTACAGTTTTGTCATCTTGTACCATAAATTATAAAATGTATGTATACCTACACAATAGACTGGGCCAAAAAGTATTTTATAAAGTATATCAAAAATATTGTTTCTCAGAACTCCCAAACCATTGAGTTTAACAAAATTGACTCAAATATATTTTTTTAAGGAAATTGAATGCTCTACAAAAATGTCTAAATAAAATTTTCCGTCAGATGAACCGTTTCCTTAAAATCATTCCTTAAAAATTGGTATTGTTTTACAATTTGATCTTCTAACTTTGGAATTTTGTAATTCATGTAAAAATCAGTACCTAGAAAAAAATCCATAAATATTTTTATGGGAAATCAAATGCTCTACAAAAAAAGTATCTTATCATTTTTGACTAAATTCACTTGTTGAAGTCAAAACGAAATTTTTGTTTTTCCCCTTTCTCTACAAAAAATATTCTTATAAGTCAATTTTGTTAAACTTAAGGATTTGGGAGTTCTGAGACAAAAACTATTATTTACTCAAACTTTCAAAATAATTTTTTTGTCACCCCAAACAATTTTCGATACAAAGAAAAAAATAGTCGATTTTTTGGACCAGTCTAATAACACAGTTATAACATTTTCTGGACTTAGATTATAGTGACAAACGCAACAAGTACTTGACTAATGATTTTGACAACAAATTTCTTTGCATGTAGTGGTGGTGGTAGATAGTTATTTTTATTAATCGCTGTGGCGAGCACCGATATGGAAAGAGAAACTAGATAAATTGCCCAACAAACAGGGAAATGAAGACGGCTTTTTAACCGTTCATATACCACATTCAAATTTATTGGTACCATAACGCAGAGATATCTTGCGTTGGTAACTAGTGCCAGCGCATACGCTGCTGAGGTTGCAGCTGCACTAGATGCTCTTTTATCCATCTACTTTATATCAACTACTCAGCAATTTACATAACTGCCTATGTGGCGGTGTTGCCAGTCGTTCCATTATAATACAAAAATGATAAAGTTCTTTTTTCTACTACCTTACTAGAAAACTTAATTTTCCACCCCCAAACGAGGGAGGAAAATGCCTCTTTTCCTCCCCGGGAGAAAAAAAAAATTTCCTTCTTTTTTTTTAACAATTTTACATTAGCAATAGTTTTTGTACCTTGTCTAGCCCTATTTGATTTTGTAGAAAAAAGATTTACTCCGCGCTTGTCCAACCATTCTTTTAACAAACTATATACATATATTCATTTTCATATCGCTCTTTCGATTTTTAAGGAAGGAAATTAATTGCAACTATTCTTGCCTCTTTAGCAAGATCTTGCGGAAGGTCTTCTTCGCTAGGACTCATTTTCAAAGCGGTTGAACTTAACAGCAAATAATTTTTTGTTTTTTTTTTATTTTTCCCTTATTTTTTAAAAAACCAAAACTTTACTTTTTTACTCCAAAAATGTCCATAAGGTGATGTACTTTTTCTGCCATTGTCATAACTTCATTAAAATGAAGTTTTGCCCTTAAAAGTTTTTTTAATTTAGAATCTGATATTATATTTGCATAGTTATCTTTTTATATTGATATTATATAATAATTAACAAGTAAATTATCAATAATAAATATTACTGTCACTTTGACAGTGTCGGAGTATTTAATTAAGATCTTCAGCAGAAATACCATTTTTTAAATACTAGTCCAAATTTTAAAAAAATTAACTGTATTTTACAAAACAAACAATTTCCTATGTCCCTAATTTGAACCCACAAAGTGCGACATAAAATTTTTGTGTGTTGTCATGTTTAACTTTATTGCGCTATTAGGTTGGCTGTACTCGTTTAAACCCAACACTGCATCCTAATTGACAATAAAATATTGTTAAATGTAATTTAAAATAATTTATATGCCGAACAGTCGAACAGAAAAACATTTTAAATACTTTCTTGTTCACACGGTATTTAGATAGCATGTTTCATATCCAAGCTATCTATGAGCAATTTTTATACATTAACGTATCCAATGTTGCCACTTTTCTATAGTTATTTCCAAAGTTTGATTTTTCTACTACAGTCTAAAAAATTACAATCATATAAAAAATTATATAGACATTTACATATAAAGTTTTAAAAAATTGACCGTCTGGTTTTCGAGTAAAAAATTAGTAAAGTTGTTATCGTTTATTATTTCTAAACTGTGTTTATGGCATGTTTTTATTATTATTGCAAATAGAAGAGCCATGTACATTTTTGTCAACTTTCACTAATAAACGATGATGTTGACAAAATTATCAATCTGTCATATTCGTCTAGAAGATCTGGCAACACTGGATTACGAACACGTGATTATCTAGGGATATTTGGTTTAATTTATTTGGTAACTACCATAATTTCTTAAAAAAAAACAATTGTATTGTTATTTTTTTTTTTTGCTACATCACAGCATATAACATTACCATATTAAAAATTGTAGATGTTTTAAAGAGTATAAAAAATATTTATTGAAATAGGTACTTATGGTGAAATATACTCTGGATGAATAGGTATTTCAATTATTTAGGTACCTAAATATTTATTTCTACCAATTTGTTTATCTAAAATCTTTATTTTTTGTGTGATTTTAACAGGATTTGTTTTAAGGAGATCTTGATAAACTGTATTTTTGGAGAAAATAAGGCCATATTTGTACAAAATACAAGGCCTACTATGTCAGTTTTTAAGAGTAAATTTTTAAGAATTGATATAAGCGATTTTTATAAACAAAATCTAAGCACGGCACTGGATTCACCACCCCTCAAAACGACCCTTTAATAAATTTTATTAAAAAAGTAGAAAAATGCACAACAATAACTACAACGAATTATTGTCAAGTTTTCCATGAAAAAAACATTGAAATAAAATTAAACTTATAGTAATAGTACATATTTCTGTAAATGTGTATATATCCTTATGTATATATTTATTAAATATATTTGGTATAACACTGAATAAAGAAATGTCACTGCAACTGTCAAAATCGAGAAGCGTTACCATAGAAACCAACTATCAACAACTCGCAATGTTGTCGCGTTTACATCCTATTTTTTACGATTTTTACAATATATAAAATAAAATAAGTTGACTGTTGTTTAAATTAAATGTAATAAAACGACAAAGTAAATTTTGTTTTTGCAAGTTGGTACCTATGCATTAAGTATAAAAGCAACTCCCACAATAATAAAAAATAATAAAAAAATAAACGACATTGAAATTTTTTTCCCCAACTTATTTTTGATTTTAAACAAAAAATTTAAATTATTCTCAAGTAAAAATAAAATTAAGTAAAAAATATTTTTTTTTATTTAAAACTTTGATTTCCGTAGGTATTTACAAAAAAACTTGTAGCTCGAATAATTTTCTACAAAAATTTGTCTTTTATATTGTGTGGATTGTGGTTGCATGTATATATTTTAGCGATTTATGATTTTTTTTGTCATTATAATGTCATCGGAAATTTTTTTTTTTTTAATCAGGAAATTTTAAGTTAAAATTCATCAAAGTCAAATGTTTAATAGAATCTAGAGAAAATAGGTATATAACACTAACTGTACAATTTTTGGGTTAAAATGTTATTATTTTTCTGTAATTTTAAATGAAAAAGATTAAAAAATATATACCGATATGTAAACCTATGTATATAAAATTGAAAAAATATTGTCGTGTGAAGGGAAATTTGTTTTTTTCAAAAACGAAGCAAGGTGCGAAAAACATATTTTTTTTAATAAAAAAACAATGGCGTGTCATATCTTCATAAAAATAACTGCTGAGATTCCCTAGGGACGCCACTGGAATTAATATTTTTTTTTTGGTTTGGTAGGTATGAACATCATTATTTTTAGAAGCAAATTAAAGATATTAGGAAAAATCAGAATTATCTCGTAAATGAACAATTTTAGGTAATTTTAAAAACCTCCTTAAAAAATTATTACATATAATAAACAAAATTTACCTACAATGACATTAGTGGCGACTGCGTCATAATCCATAGAACGAGAGTGGCGATGAGATTAAACGGGGAGACAATAGGTGGCACTGAAACCGCGTTTCGGGGTGTTTTTCGTGGCAAGCGTGGCAACGGCGTGACGTGTGACACGAGGGCGCGAAGCGGATTCGCGTCGGCCGCATCACGAGTCGATTCGATCGGGAGAATCGACTAGCGTCCACCTTTAGCAGCAGATAGACGCGCAGAACTGCAGGTACTGAGCACCTGCCTGCGCCTCGCAGCATCCGCTGCTCGCTCCTTCCTGCCCATAGAAAGTCGATGCGAGGGCGCCAGGGGGCGCGCGCGCCCGGTCGGCGGCCGCGCGCAGGCCACGCCCCGCGCCACGCCCCCCTGCGCGGCGATTGGCGCGGGTGGGGACTGGCGAAGGACCAGCAATCGCCGTGCTGTGGGCATGGCGCGAGTCGACGCGCTGATTGCGCAACGCCGAAACTATGCGCTATTTAGGTTCTACCTGTTGATCTACTGAACATTTCAGTTTTCCAGTTGATTGGCAACATCTTTGTTTTCATAATGCTCGCTTGATTTTTCTATATTAATAGTCCATGGTATAATTTTTGACCCCAATATTCTCTTAAAAATAAAATTTTATATTCCAAGTCTAAATTCTAAAGTCTATTCAAATCCAAGCTGGACTAAATGTAAACACAATCCTCCGAATCGACCAATAAGAGCTCACAATCCGAGTCACACCATCAGAATCGACCAATAAGAACGAGTTATCATGCGTCTGGGCGTTTTTGTTTAGTCCAGCTTGGATTTGAATACACTTTAGGAACCTATCACCAAGCTTTCTATGTAGAAGCTGCAAATACCAAGGAACGAAAGAATTCTCCTATAAATTGAAGGGGTTAGAATAAAAAGGGTATAAGTAACATTTTCATTTTTTGGAGATATTTGAAGTTAAAGTTATGTTACCATAAAAAAGTGAAGAATTTTGTTTAGTAATGTTTTTCTACTGGATAATAGAGGTCCCTAGAAGTATGAAAATTACTTAAATCCTTTTAATTTCGATACGTCGGAACCTTATCTTTCACAAAACGAACTTATCTCCTAAATTAAAGAAATTGCACTTATACCCTTTCTATTCTAACCCCTTCAATTAAAAGTTTCGGAGCTACAATCTGATTGAAGAGAATTGTGATATTTTTTTTTTAATTTGCCCAACCTCAAATGTACCGTTTTTTTACATTATTTATTTATAAAAACTATAGTTGTAATTATTTACATTCTTTGTATGGACGTTTGGCCGTTGGATTAAGAAACGATTATTATCCTATAATATAGGTACATATGTATGTATTATATAATATTATAAAACTGTGGCATAAGTCTACCTTCTTAAAAAAGTATTCGTATTCGTGTTAACCAAGTTGGCTTTAAAAGGCAAAAAAATTAATTAGGTATAGGTATAATAATATAATAATAATAATTATTTCTTTTTTTTCAGTCTTTTGAAAATTTGACATTTAAGGCTTGTTTATAGTGTTACTGCTTAGGTTACTGCTTATGTTTAAGCGTTTAAAGTTATCTTTATAATATCACAATAACAATGGTTGGTTTAAGAATTTAGGAATATAGGTAAATACTGCATTTAATGAAATTCCAAAGTGTAAGGTGCAATATAAGTGATATTTCTCCATAAAATAGTTTTAACTAAACAGCATTTATTAAAAAAAATCTAACTTCTCTATTATGAAATAAGAATATCTGTATCAAAGGTAGGTTAATGTATAAGGAGAAAACCAGATATTTGGACCAAATGCACAAAAATGCCAAATTTTCAAAAGACTGCGTTCCGTACGTAGTCACGTGGTGGGACTTTGAGGTGTGGAGCATAGTACCTAGTTGAAAAAATTCAGAAGTGTGAAAAAAAATTGTTTTTCTCCTGGATTAAAAATAATTCCAAAACAACAAAAGCTAACCATTATTTTTATAAAAAAGACAAAATTTCGTGAATTATGTTTATTTCGAAAATTCGAAATTTTGAAATTTTTGGAATATCTACTTTAAATTTTTGAAATTTTTTCATAATTAGGGTATGGTGCAAATTTAAATTTGCAAATGAAAATAGTACTTAGGACAATATTAGGACATTGTTTAAAATTATCTCACTGTGCGAATGTATTCTACAATTTTTAAATTTGTGCATTTAATTTTGCAATTACTTTATATGGTATACATCCAGGGCCGAGCCTAGGGTATCTGCCGCCCGGGTGCAATAATTAAATTTGCCGCCCCCATTAATGTAAAAAATTAGGTTGTCGGTAGGGAAGGAGTTCATAATTTATCATTCTCAATAAACATACTTATAACAAATTTTATAAAATAACAAAGTATTTATTAACAAATACATAAAAGAATAAAATAAAAATACATTCAGGAAAAAAAACAAAAATATTTAAACTAAACTAAAAAACTAAAATCTACTTTTCTCGCTTTTTTAATAGCAAATTCCCTAATTAAGTCGCCTACATCCAAGTTGTTAGAAATATCTTCTTCAATACTTATAATTGCTAAATTTGAAAGCCCGAATTGACTCATATTGGATCTTAAATAGGTCTTAATTAGTTTTAATTTCGAAAATGACCGCTCTCCATGGGCAACAGTAACTGGCATCGTCAAAAATATTCTTAAAGCTACAAATAAATTCGGAAAAATGCCTTTTAAATCATTAACTAGTTTTTAACTTAAACGCATTAAAAGACAAAAGAAACTACTATGTTTGCATCCTATTTGCCTCACGTTAATAGAAAAACTAAAAATTGCTGAAATACGCAGCCGTCAAATCGGAAGAAATTATGCTTTAACTTTACAGTTCAGCTTGTAAACAATATCACGTGGTACACAGCGCGCGATTTAATTGGTTTCCCGTAAGCCCGCTTCCGTAAAACATGAAACTTGACGAACTCGAAGCGGACGGACGGAAAGCGAAGCGGGCGGGAGGCAATCTATAAACCGGGCTTTAAGAAAATTGTCATCATCATTTTTTGTGGCTATCGCGCGTTCGGTTATGTCTTTTTTATCATTGTCGCCTGACCGCACAATTTTGGCATTGTTTTTATGTGTAGAAAAGCCCCCCGCCCACCCTGTCAATCCCTTGTCTATGAAATAAATACGATGGTTCCTTGAAACGCCGACATCAATAAAACGCAAGTGATTTTTAGAAAGTTTTTTGCATATTGCAAGGTGGCTTTTTTATTCTTGATAATATGATACAATTTTTTTGATGATATTTTGCCGCCCTGTGTTAGTGCCGCCCGGGTGCCATGCACCCCTTGCACCCCCGGCACGGCTCGGCCCTGTATACATCATATACCTACATACATATGTAGGTACTTACCTATATGTATCTTTCTCAATTACCTACTTAGAATACAAAAAAGCGTTTCATATTTTCCGTGACAAGGTGTTAAGCTGTGACATCACTTCTGTTCAATGTTGCCAGGTTTGGTGAAAATTCACCAGATTTGGTGATTTTTAATTCATTTGGTGAATAAGTGAAAACTTTTTTTAAAAGCCTTATTTCTGGTGATTTTTTCGGCCCTGACATTTGTAAATTAAAATTTTCCTAAAAACACGGTTAAAATCGGTTAAAAATTTTAACCGTTAAATGTTAAAATGTTAAAAAGTTAAATGTTAAAATGTTAAATGTTAAAATGTTAAATGTTAAAATGTTAAATGTTAAAATGTTAAATGTTAAAATGTTAAATGTTAAAATGTTAAATGTTAAAATGTTAAATGTTAAAATGTTAAATGTTAAAATGTTAAATGTTAAAATGTTAAATGTTAAAATGTTAAAATGTTAAAATGTTAAAATGTTAAATGTTAAAATGTTAAATGTTAAAATGTTAAATGTTAAATGTTAAAATGTTAAAATGTTAAATGTTAAAATGTTAAATGTTAAATGTTAAAATGTTAAATGTTAAAATGTTAAATGTTAAAATGTTAAATGTTAAATGTTAAAATGTTAAAATGTTAAATGTTAAATGGGCCATTCCACGCTTAACGGATAGGGCAGTTGCCGTGTTTTTATTTACAAAATAATATTGTTCTATTATATTACCAATGTCAAATTTTTATAAATAGTTCTAAACAAAAGCTGTTTAACAAGGTTTTTATTTGGCAAAATTAAGTATCGTGATTGACTGTTTAATTCCTTAAAAATTAATAATTTAAAGCGTAACGGGCGGGACAATTGCAAAGTCCCTATCCTATCCGTTACGCGTGGAATGGCCCAAATGTTAAATGTTAAATGTTAAAATGTTAAAATGTTAAATGTTAAAATGTTAAATGTTAAAATGTTAAAATGTTAAATGTTAAAATGTTAAATGTTAAAATGTTAAATGTTAAAATGCTAAATGTTAAATGTTAAAATGTTAAATGTTAAAATGTTAAATGTTAAAATGTTAAATGTTAAAATGTTAAATGTTAAAATGTTAAATGTTAAAATGTTAAAATGTTAAATGTTAAAATGTTAAATGTTAAAATGTTAAATGTTAAAATGTTAAATGTTAAAATGTTAAATGTTAAAATGTTAAATGTTAAAATGTTAAATGTTAAATGTTAAAATGCTACCAAACATACAATCTGAATCTAGAATTTTAATCTCTAATGTTTTAAAATTATTATTAAAACATGAATTTTTGCCCAAAACTAAATTTTGGAAAGTGTGTGATGCCAAAAAAGGTTACAAAGGTCTTTTCTTTCCAGCGCTTTAAATGAAATAAATAAAACAAAAATGCAAAATAGATTAGACTCCAAAACATTAAGTGGAATTTTACATAAAAAGTAGGTAAAAGATTAATTTTAAACTGCTGTTTCGCACAAATTATAGTATGTACCAATAAATTTTGTTTTTTTTATAAGAACAAGTCTGTAATTTAATAATGTATTTAGTTTCATTTAATTATTATATGCAAATATACAAAAAAATGCAAAATCTGGTGATTATTTATTAAATCTGGCAACTTTTAAAGCAAGTGTCTGGTGATTTTAAGTTTTTTGACCTGGCAACATTGCTTCTGTTGCATGCTAAAAATGTAGGTACTCAAAACAAGTAAAAATCGAAATAAGCGTTTTTTAAATATTAGGAAATACCTACCTATCAAATATTAAAAAAAACTGCAAGACTCTGTATCTTGGCAAATCAAGGATTTGGTCAAAAAAGTAGGTACCTAATTGATAATTAATTTACATGTTTCTTATTTTAAAAAGGAAATTCAATTCGCTTAAAATAG